TTCTTTTAATTATTTCGCTCAAGCAAGGCACTATAGCTACTAGGAGGCAAGGGGGTTACCGAGTGTTAGAGAATATGAGAAAAAAACTATTAAGGAGAGAAGACTATAAAAGAACAGGAAATAAGAAGACGGAAGATAAAGATTGCCATTGCATTTAAAACTTTGAAGATCAAAGTTGACAAGGAAACAAGAAGTTGTATCTGAAAAAAAATCGCTAAACTGCTATAGTAATAAACAATATTCACTTACCAGTAATAAAATGAATAAAATCGTCGCTTACGATCTATAGAAATAAATAATAATTATTTAGCTTTTATAGTGAGAAGTAATAATCGCTTAACTGTTATAGAAAGAAGAAATCGCCACTTAAGAGCTATAGAAATAAACAAAATTTAACTATTATAGAAATAATTAATAATCACTTAACTACTATAGAAATAAAGAACAATGGCTTAACTGTTATAGAAATAAACAATAATCGCTTAACAATTATAGAAAGAAGCAATCGTCGCTTAAGAGCTATAGAAAATAAACAACATTTAACTGTTATAGAAAGAATCAATAATCACTTATGTATTATAGAAATAAACAAGAGTGGCTTAACTGTTATAGAAATAAACAATAATCGCTTAACAATTATAGAAAGAAGCAAAATGTAGTAAAAGTCGTTTAAAAGCTATAGAAACAATAATCGCTTAACAGCTATAGATTAAACAATCAATGGTTAACGGTTATAGAAATTATTAATATTCCCAACAGGAGTTGGTTCGTGAATCTGGTGAGTTTAAAACCTGGGCCAGGCAGTCTGTACTTGGACTCAATGGAAACAGGGCGATCACTAACTGACCAGTAGTAAAATAACTAGATGAGATATATCCGAGACATGCCAGTACAATGAGAAAAAATCTACCCCGGTCGAATAAAAATGGTACTGTTCGAAAATCCCTGTAGGTTACTCTGATCGATATAAACCTGATGAAGGCCAGAGGGCATAAGATCTGAAACGTTGTGATAGCAACAACAAAGGTGAGAACTATAGTCAGCATGTAAATAATGTAAATTGCTTAACAATTGTAGATTCTGCGTGAAGGGTTATAAAACAATTAAGATTGGTTCGAGAAATGATGGAATAGTTATCGGTATGCTTATCTTTTAATGACCCCTGTGTGTTCTTTGATCTATTTCCATTTTATTACCCTTCACGCAGAACTTTTCACTGCCACTTCAAGAAAGTCGTTTGGATCACTAACACAAAAAAGAGAATATTTAACATCGAAAATCATAAAGAAAAAAATTAATTATTTTTAATAATATGTGGAAATCTCCAACCTTTGCCTGACGATGGTTCCGAGACCGGAAACACGTGTAGCAAAATTATGGAAAATAAAGCATAATATTTTTTTTTGAATCCACATTACAACCAAAAACGTTTGCGATATCTCTCTTTTTTTTAATATACACACTTTTCTCTCGTTGGAACTACTATAACCTCTCCCTTTTATATATATATGTATGTATGTATGTATGTATGTATATATGTATGTATATTCATTGAGAACTTTTTAATACTACTGTTTCCTGGTCCAAATCAAAACTTAACTGTATATATATATATATATATATATATATATATATATATATATATATATATATATATATATATATATATAATCATTACTTTCTTTTTTGAAAAATATGATTCTACCGTGACACAGAAATTTCTATGTTTCAAAACTGAAACTAAAGTTGTAAATTTAATTATAAAAAATAAACTTAAAATCCAGGGTTTCGCTACATTGTCAAGCGATGCTACGAATAACTAATAAATTTAGATAATTTATAAACGCAGACAATCTTAATATTTTGAGTTGTTAATATTAAGGAAAATTTTTGATTAGGGGTGCTTGCGTTTTAATTTCCCTAGACAACTTATGTATGAAACATCCGTTATTCAGCGTGTCGTCTAGTTTTTCAATAGCATTTTTATTTCTCCGCATAACCCATATTTTTATAAACAAAGATTTTCTAAAACATTTATATATATATATATATATATATATATATATATATATATACAAACACATATACAGTTTACATTGGATGTGGCTACAAACATTTCGTCGTCAAATGCAGTACTTATTATTATTTCTGTTTAAATGATAAATAATGGAAACTAATCGATAAAATAAGAAAAGAATAACAGGATAAAATTATCATCAAATATACATGAGAAATAATGTTATTATTGCTGTTGCTATAAATGTTTGAAAGATAAATAATAAAGGAAGAAATTAACTATACTGAATCAATAAGAAAAGGAAACAAAAAAAAAGTAACGTTACGACTTGAAACAAAGCATAAATACAAATTTGAAAATACGTCCTCATCCGTAAAAAATGTTACTTCAAAATATAAATACGGTACAAATTATTCCCATCAATGAATAAGTAGTTTATTCAATGCACTAAATGTTCATCATATAATTCATAGTGAGATATTCGTAATAAAAGTAACTCGCTAAATAACACTGGTTTAAAAAGAAAACAATCGATATATACATCTTTAAAAAACTATGTACTTTCATGAATAACGATGAATAAAAATATAAGAAAATAATAATAATTATAACATAATAAATAATGAGAAACATCAGTATAAATGAAAAATAACTTTCATAAAAACGTGAAATGTTACGTTTAAATATAGATATTTAAGTAGAGTTATTCATGCCAATGTATAAGTAATTTAGCAAACACAATGTATTAAATGTTCTTAAAATAATAATTATATTTTTTTATTATATATACGAGTACAGTAGTACCTCGGTTCACGAATTTAATTCGTTCCTGAAGGCCGTTCGTAACCCGAAATATTCGTAAACCGAAACTATTTTTCCAATAGGAATGAATGTAGAGAAAAAATTTCACAGTGCAATAAATTTGGAAAAGAAAATCACGACATAACACACGAATTTATACAACACAGCTGTCGACTCAGAAATTATTCCGTTCGAGTTAACTCAGTTCGGTTACGTTATTCGAGAACCGAAATTTTGTTCGATAACCGAGGCATTTTCACCTCCAATTTCCTGTCCGAAAACCGATTTGTTCGACATGTGAGACGTTCAACAACCGAGGTTCCTCTATACTTTTTTCACCTTACATTTATTTCAAAATACGTAACGGCGGCAAGCTAGAATGTATCTATTTCGTTCTTTATTCACCATCAATCATGTGACACAATTTTCCAGCCATACAGATTACGTTTCACAATGACACACCCACATCACCTCAACTATCAAGCAGTCGCCAAACATTCGAGATATTTGATTATAAAAAAAGTTCTAATGTAGTATAGGGAAGTGCATAAAGATATGCTGTATTAAGTATATTTAAATTCATTTAATAATATTGTTATAATGTATTATGAATATTTAATATTTTTCACGTACATAATAGTTGGAATATAATATGCAAGTGTTCGTTTAAATAAGCTAATTGATATATTGAATTTAAGACCCTAGCTCAATATAAGGCCCTAACTCAATAATCCCTTGACTAATTTTAATGAAATTTAGCACTGCACTCGGTAGCTGTTAAATGTAAAATATGCTCTTAAATTGGTTTGTGTAGTAATGAGGAGGGAATAATGGATAGCGGCTCGGATTGAGGAATCAGAGAGCCGAGTTCGAATTCCAGTTGAATCCAGTGTATTGACATACGGGTTAATACAGGCTTCGGAAAGGTATGAATCCTCTTCTCCCCGCTGCGATGGGTAAATAGCAGAACAGACCAAGTTCTATAACCTTTCATGGTAACTGGACCACCGCAGAAAGAAATGGCAACATACCGCGGGAAAAATCTGCCTCGTCAGTCATGTATCGAAAGATACATGATCATCAGAACATGTATCACACGTGGCACATAACTCTCTAAGATCCTTTGGTAGCCATCAAATAATGAGATCCATTGGCTGTCATTAAATAATGAGATTCATCGGTAGTTATCAAAGAATGAGATCCATTGTTTATCATCAAATAATGAAATCTATTGGTAGCCATCAAATAATGAGATCCATTTGTAGCCATCAAAGAATGAGATCCATTGGCTGTCATCAAATACTAAAATACATTGGTAGTTATCAAATAATGAGTTGCGTTGTTTGTCATTAAAGAATGAGATTCATTGGTAGTCATCAATTAATAAGATCCATTTGTAGCCATCAAATAATCAGATCCGTTGGTTGTCATCAAAGAATGAAATCCATCGGTTGTCATCAAATAATGAGATCCATTGGTTGTCATCAATTAATAAGATCCATTGGTAGCCATCAAAGAATGAGATCCATTGATAGTCATCAAATAATAAGATCCATTGGTAGCCATCAAATAATGAGATGCATTGATTGTCATCAAATAATGAGATCCATTGGTAGCCATCAAATAATGAGATCCATTGGTTGTCATCAAATAATGAGATCCACCGGTAGCCATCAAATAATGAGATGCATTGGTTGTTATCAAATAATGAGATCCATCGGTAGCCATCAAATAATGAGATCCATTGGTAATCATCGAAAGGACTTTCGCTTATTTGATCTCAATAAATACCGGGTAGATTGTTTGCGTCAAGGTCCAGCAGTAGTCAACCATCATTCTTTTCTTCCATCATCCGTCATACGATTTTTCCATAACAGAATCTTTCAACTTGCTCATCACTAACATTATCAAGATTAAATTATATCACTAAGCTTGATTGATTTGTTATTTTATAGTTTATCAACCTTTTGTAGGTTATCCAAGGCCAGAAAATACTTTTAGGCTATAAGATTTTTGGGAGTTTTACTAATTAACCCATAGTTAGAGGGGAGAAGAGTTGGATTCATGCCTTTCCCAACGGTATTTGCATGTAAGTGAACATAAAGAACCCGATTGAAATTAGAATTTAACTTTCCGATTTTTAATTCAGAGACGTTATAATTACACCACTCTCACAGCCAAGCTTACAGCATCTAGTATACCCAAGCGGACACCGATCTAAGTACCAACCAGGTTCCATGTTGCTTAACTTCGGTGATTATACAAGAACCGGTGTTTCAACGTGATGTGGCGTCAGCCTTATATCACTAAAAGAACTTAAGTAACTATCATAAATATTTAGACAATGCAAAGTGATTATATCCAAGTAGTATATATCGATTCTGTTATGGTCCGGTTCCTTGTACCACGGTGATAGTCCAAGGAAGAACCAATAAAGAAGAACTCGAACACGGATATGGAATAACACAGATATATTACAAACAGGAATATATACAGAGAAGTAGAAAGTGTTAGTACGAACAATCAGGTTTAGTAGTAATTGTCTGAACTCGACTCTGTTTCGGACTGCCTCTGACTCGACTGACTGACTCCTGGCGGACTTCACTCCAGACTTCAGACTGAACGGTATTTAGTCACCCCCGCGAGGGAATCATGTGGCACATGGCCGGTTTAACGTGGGATCTCCGAGCCCGCGTGCTCGGCCAAAAATATCCCCATTGAACCCGTATAAACGGGTTCAGGGTCGGTTTACCTCCCCGAAAGAGACTCCGCCCTTCGGCGTAGCCTCCTTCGGGCTCCTCCCCGCCCGAAGGCAGAGAGTTCAACCGATCAGCCGATCAGCCGGTCGCCTGACCTCTGGCTGAACTCCCTGCTTCCTCTTGAGGCGCAGTATTTATTACGTATGGAATAGTCCATTATGCTATTATGGGTAAGGTCCCATAACAGAATCCATTCATAACGTAGAACAATACTGACAGAGGCGCAACTGAGAAAAATAATACTTTGAGATACCCAGCGCTGGGGAACAACTGCCCGTGGTTGCACCCTTTCATTGCACTTGAGAGAGTGATCAGTGCTCGCTATCGAGGCCAGCGCAACTGACGGTTGCAGGGTATGGGGGAATTTTTGTCCTTGTCCCGGGTCTATGCGCTCGGGTTCTCCACAATAAACCAGACCTTGTGTCACATCACGTATCAGTGAAGAGACAAAGTAAATATCTACAGTCATTATCCTGAAAATTAACATAATATATAAAAACAACTATCACTGCAGACATCATTATAAATGCCACAGTTCTACGTTATCTAGAAAATTCTGTTAACGATGTCAGTGCCTCTAAAACTGAATCCATAAACTTCTACCATAAGTTCTCAATACAAACTGTCTAAGGAGAATCAATAAATGCTGCCGAATCTTTTACATACGTAAGAAGCGAAATAAATTCTGTTGAGAAGGATTTGAAAATTGGCATAGCTAAAGCCTGGGCCGCCTTGAATAAAATGGGCGTAACTTGGAAATCTGATCTACCAGACAACCTCAGGGATAGTTTCATGCTACGGTAGAGGCGGTTTTAATGTATATTGTCACTACTTGGTTATTAACTGAAAGCCTTGAGTCTAAGCTTCATGGAACCTCCACTTGGATACTGAAAGATATACTTAACATTTCTTGGAGACAGCTCTATGGTCTTATATTTCTACGAACTTTCCTGGGCGCAGAATGCGCTTTGCAGGACACTGCTGGTGAGCAAAACAAGAACTTTCATACGTTGTAGTGCTCTGGACACCCAGCCATGATGCAAGACGGATAGGTCACCCAGCAACATTGACCAACTATGTTATGACACAAACCTTGGTGCAGGACGGTATAGTTGGCGTGATAGACTCATAAATATCCGAGCTAGATCGACCGAATAATAATAAAAAAAAAATAAGTTTGACCAATCAGGAATTTAATAACATACATTTATTTTTTTTTTCTGTAAGAGACATTCAGAATTAATTTGAACATTATGTGAAATTTAGCTGTAAATACTCATTATTTAAATACTCAGATTCTCTACAACAAAATGTGAAGATAAACAGTAAAAAATGCAGTTGATTTTTGAACTCAGCGTCCTAAAATTAGCTTAGAAAACGTCTAAGTAGGCTTGCACAATAATATGTGTAGGCCAACGATATAAATACATTCTTTAAAGCAGCTCGACGCATATATAAAAAGTGTCCCAAATTGTACACAAATATAATGTTTATTAATCTTCTTCTATGTGCTATGTTACTTCAGAACGTTGGAAATCATGGCTCTCCACAATTTCCTGTCTTTTATACCTGTAAATATTTTTTTTCTTTTTGTTATCTCTCCGAAACCCTCTTCTAACAATTTACTAAAGCTTTCTACTTAATTATGCGTTGTCTTCCTCTGTCCATCTTACATAGACCTGTGAGTATCAAGCCCTCTTTCCACATTATTTTACGTTAGATATCTCAACTATCTTTTCCTGGTGTTAATTATCAGTGTTCCGTTTTCTCTAAAACGTCTTCGTTATTCACATGTTCAGTCCATGGCACTCTCAGCATCCTTCTGTAGAACCACAATTATGGTGCTTCAAGTCACATTCTCCATTTATGAGGTGATTGTCCCAACATTCTCTGCCATATAAGAGGACTGATATTACGTAGCAGTTCAGTACTCTTTTCAGTGTTTCTAACGACACATGGCACAGTGAATAAAGGCGTTGGTTAGATCCAGTGACAGGACCCAAGGAGTGTGAGTTCAATACCCTGTTAAGGCAGTGGAGAACTTGGAGAGGGTAATAAACAGAAGATAATTGATAACTGACATCCATCAGACATGGCATGTGGAACTAGAACAGTCTACCCCAGTGAGCGAAATAAAGGGTTCAGTTCGACATTCTAACCACCTGAAGAAGGTCGGAGCGTACAACGGCCGAAACGTTGTGATAAATATGACGACAAAGATGAGGACAATAGTCCGAATAATGTAAATAATGTACATAGTACCTCATCTCAGAAATATAGACAGACTCCGATAATTTTCTGTTTCGTAATACTTTGCTTAGATTTTGAATAGCATCTTTCGTTATCCCAATGCTCTTTTGGATTTTGGCGTCATATTTCCGTTCTCTGTTAAAACACTTCCAGATGTTTAAATTGTTGTACTTGCTTGATTTTGGTATGTCCAACAATTAATAAAAGAAGAGGAGAATCATTTTGGGTTACTGAAAATGTTTTTAATGTATGAACGCCCCGCTAAAATTACAGGCTACGGTTATTGCAGATAACACGAACCACTTCAATAAGCATTTGAAAGCCTTCTTCATTAGCTACTTTCGTTGAAAAATATTAATTTTAAAAGTATCCCTATAAAAACTACTCATTGAAATGAGAGCGTTTTCAGTGTTCCCTATTAAATGTACGGCCGATTTTCATCAAAGAAAGGCATCATATCCTAACACTAGCAGTAGAGCCCGGCGTTGCCCGGGGATGTAACAGTAAGAGATAGATCAAGTATCGACCATCATAAAGATTGAAAAATAAAATTGACAAAGATTATTGTTTAAGGTTGACGGACACGCATGTCTTAATTAGTTTTTTTTTTTTTGTTTTTTTTTTTTGTTATTTTTACGAATTGGTCAAACCCAAACAAAAACATTGTTTCAATCGTTATGAGTCTACCGGTTTGAATAGAATTTTATTATAAAAATTGTCTTGTAAATGGAATTTTAAAACATTCTGAATGTAAAAATAAAGAAAAAAAAAGTGTGCAAAGACAATAAGAAACACTACCTGCCAAAAAAAAAGTTGAAGTTTTGTTGAAATCGGTTGAAAAAATTTAGGAAATCCGATCCCATATATAAACGAACACACACACACACACAAACAAACAACCTGGGTTTTATAATAAGTATAACTCGATATGAGTTGTCCCCCTTTCATTCTGGTGACAGAGTCGTGTTTTATCGGGTTTTCAAATTGATTTCGTGCAAAAACAATTGTGTTTTCAATTTTGGCGCTGTCAGAACCACCGCAAGGTAATTTTACGTAGTCCTGTGAAGTTTTGTTGAAATCGGTTGAAAAATGTAGGAAATCCGATCCAATATATAAACGTACAGACACACACACACACACACACACACAATCTGCGTTTTATAATAAGTAAGATAAGATTCCGAAACATCGTCATTGAAGGTGAAGACTAGTTTTCGGATAAATTTTGCCTCCAAATGTTACCTGAGAAGCGACTTGCCGAACAGATTTTGATTTTTTTTTTCTTGAAGATTGCTGGTAAATTTCAAGTAAGATTTCTTCTCTTGTGCTTAGAACTCGTCAAAGTTAGCGGCCTTCGGGAATTATTTTTGTGGATGCTTTGAACTGTTTATTCTGCATTAAACTTGTTTCGAATGCGAGCAATAATGACTCACTTTAGCGTGGCTGTTCGAAAGTCGTTTTGAAACTTTCTCTACATCCCCGTACTTCCAGTACCAGCTTGGGACAAAACGCATGTTCTCAACGCTTAGTTTTCTTTCTGACATTATATGACATCACTTACACCGGGAAAATATTCACGAAACTTTGAATTGTAAGTTGTGCATATATTTTTTAGCGGAAAAATCATATATGGGAATAGGTGTATATATATATATATATATATATATATATATATATATATATATATATATGAATTGTTTGCGACGATGGATTTCTCGCCAATTAAATCATTAACCTTTGCATTTGTTTTGTGTGAATAATTCATGAATTTGTAAATTGATTGCACGTTTATCGTAATTAAAATAACTGATCCAAGTGCGACTTTTGGATAATAAATGCGACATTACTGTAATTATTGAACAATATAGTTCATGCCACTTTGACAGAAAATTTACCAGTAAAAATTCGTATATCACCATATTTGTACATGAACGCACAACTGTAAAAATTTAAAATCAAACTCAGAGTTGCTACTGCGCGCTCCAAAAACAATAACTCATTTCAATAGCATTTTCGGATACAACAATACATATATTTTCATTGTCCTCTTATTACTAAGAGAAAAAACAAGAACAACATCTATTCCATACCTGAAGATGTCTGTAGGAACAGACAGCTTATAGTAAAAAATAAGAACTAATACGGCAGAAATTTATAGAAACAAGGATCTTTTCATTCATAACGGATTCGGAGGTTTTTTTTGTATATTATTTGAATTGTTTGCGACGATGGATTTCTCGCCAATTAAATCATTAACCTTTGCATTTGTTTTTGTGTGA